TATATTTCCATCAGCAGTGATCACAAAGTTTGCACCTGGTAGGTATTTAATAAATAGGCATCTGTTCCTTGTCTACAAACTGAGACATTAGATAAAGAGCAATGTTAACACCACTTGCTGACATTTGAATTGTGTTTCCCCAACCACATAGGGATGTGTGCACATGAATCTCATTACTTACATTCTGTATCACTTGGAGAGTTATGATTCTAAAGTATAGTGACATCTAGGAAAGGGCGCTCAGTCTGCTCTGGGCAAATCATGGTACATGAGACCAGCTAACTAATTGAGACAGCTTTCTCCAGTTTTACTTAGCACTAAGATTATGTGTGTGGCTTTTGTCTACCTGCATAAGGATATAAATACACTGACTTAGTCTGCTCTTTCTAATTTTTCAACTTGATTAAGAGGAGTGAAAGACTACATTAACTACCTACAAGATTCCAACTTGACATCAAGGAAGTTACCAAGTACATTTTTTAAAATCCTTTATTTGCACATCTCAGAGCCCCTTACAGCAGAGTTTCCTGTTTTAAAAATTAGATAAATAAGGCTCCAATAAATTATCTGATACCATCTCTGTCCAAATCCAAAGCCATTTCTCTTTACCATCTCCTCGCACCCTTGACCTTAAGCTCAGCATTTTAGTCTTGGTCTATCTATATCCCAAATACAACTGGATGATCATCATTGCAAACTGTACTATTATTATAAATACTCCATTTATACAACTTCCAAGTTGAATTTAAACTGTAGTCTACAGTTTGGATTGGGTTTTTTGACACTTGCAAACACAATGGTACCTGTGTATTCCCACAGAAATTTCAAAAAGGCCAAATTTCTTTCTTCCTTTTTTTTTTTTTTTTAATCTTTTGCCCTCTCTAGATATCCAACACTAGAGGATTCGGGTCATTACACATTTTCTGTCCTTCAAAAATTTAATATTGTACCTCCTACAAACTGGCTAATTAATTAATTATTCACCTAAGTCCAAATGTACATGATCACACACACACACACACACACACACACACACACACATAACTAAGAATGTACCACTGAAGTTAACAAGAAGAGTTCTAGTCCACACATTTGGAAAAAGAGCCAAACTATAACAACACAAACGTTGAACACCCACTATGAAGGAAAGATCAACTCTGTACAATCAATTTAATTTAAAATTATATCAAGTGTTATCAGTTGACATTGTTTAAAATCCCATATGAAGTCATCAGTATAATCCCCTTACATTTCTACAGAAATATTATCATTGCAGATCATTTTAGTTCACAACATTTGATTGCAACCCTCAGGACAGCACTAGGAGTTCTGACGGCCTATTTCCAAATTGTACGGGAGGAACTCATGGCTCTGAGCTTTGACTGCCTTGCTAACCACTAAGCAGCACTGTTAATGCTTGCCTGATATCTTCTGATATTCAACCCAGAGTCTACCTTCTCCCAATTGTAATCCAAGTGTCCAACATACCCCCGCTTTAGTTGTGACTGCTCAGTGGTCCCAAATGGCAACACAGATAATTGAGAAAATTGATTTAATTGATTGCAAAGCCCCTGCACTATTCTCAAATCAATTACTCATCTTTTCTTGGTCACCAATTGGGACCCTGAGAAGTCACCTTTAAGTGATACAGAACAGCAGGAAGGCCAAACAAAGCATCTTTGACACATCCTCAGATAGCATGTCTCCCTTACCCTGGGGGTCTGCATTTCACGCAGTATCTTGTTAACGCTCAGTCTATCCACCCTAGCTCCTGTCCCAGCACCAATTCAACTCCTTGCGGGGTGAGCACGCGGCTCTAGGCTGTTGTTATGACTCAGCAATCAGAATTTCAAGTTCAGGCTGCCTAGTCCACACACACCTCCAGGGTTGCAGCTCCCAGAGCCCCTTTCTGCACTTGAACTTGCTAAGAGATCTTCCTGGCTTCCTTTAAAGGTTCTCAGGAACCACGTTTGTTGCAGAAGAAAAGAGATATTCAGGTCTTGTTGGTTTTTTGTTTGTTTGTTTTTGGTACCGGGGATGGAACTCGGGTCCTTGCGCTTGCAAGGCAGGCCACTGAACCACTGAGCTAAATCCCTGCCCTGAGATATATAGGCATTAAGTGCTCTGGTAAAAAAAAAAAAAAAAAAAATAGAAACAAACTGGAGAATGTGGGGCCTGCTTGGCTGACTTGAGCAGTAACCTAGAGAAAGGACTGCCAACTGACTGGAACTGAGTAGAGAAGGATTTGCACTCTCTTTTCTTCTCCTCAGTAAACTCCAAGCTACTACCAACTCATTCTTTCATCAAATACAACCATACATGTATTTCTTCTGGGTAACCTCAGACTCTTCACTGGCAACACTGACATATTACCTCTGCTGAACGGAAGCTTCTCGCTCCCTCTTTCACATTTATTTTCTGAAAACCAACGCTCAAGCCTCAAAATACTCTCTATCACAAAGCAAAGCTTTAAAAGACACAAGCACATAAACCGTGGGTCCAAAGCCAGGTGTGGTCATAGCTGTTTACTGCTGCTGTGACCTGAGCTCAAAAGAAAGATGCAAAGTTATAAGTGCACAAGGACCATTGGGAACTCTTAAGAAGCATGCTGTGTGGGCTGGAAACAGAAAATCCTGAGTTGGCATGTACCTCTCTTCTATTAGCTCAGAATAAGTGATAATGAAAGTGTTGCTATTACTAGAACATTTACTCATTACAATGATTAACTCTCAAATTCACAAAAGCCAAGATGTTATCATTTTTTTGCCTGAGATGATGTTGAGCATAATCTATGCAGTTAAATTTTTTCCCAACACCACAAGTCTAAACATACTCTTACTGGTTGAGAATGTGAAAGGGACAGGAATACTCAAAATTAAATACCCCCAATGGAAAGAGGTACTAATGCATCAACTTCCAGAAAGGCATTTTGAAAAAGCTTCTCTTTATTCAGAGCAATCTTAATACAAAAATAAATGACCTAAAAGTTCTGTCCTATCTACCTAGGACTAGTAATCAAAAGTTGCAGATTATTGAAGGGTTGACCAGTTTAAGGAAAGATGACCTGTCCCTTCTGAATTTGGGGACCCCAGTACCAGGTAGTCCCTTGATATAACAGGGAACCATTTAACCTTTGGACATCAAACTTTGTTTCTTGTTTATATATTCATCTTTGCCTTCAGGTTTCATGATCACCAGGTTGTATTTTTCATGAAGAAAATGAAATTTATTTGAGATCTCTCCTACGTTCAAGACATTAAAAAACAAAACAAAATAACAACAAAAACTTCCTTACTTCACAATGGGCATTGTAGCTGGAACCTATGGGTAACAGATGAAAACATCCTGATCAGAATATAGTTGATAAGAAAGTCATATCATAAATTCTGCCTCAGAGGGAGTTTTCCCACAGTGTTTTTTTTATCAAGAGTACTGTATGGAGTCATTAGTCATAGGGCAGGGGTGAGCATGGGTGATACCTTATAACACTAGCCTTTTTAAAGCTACTTTTTCATATCTTTAGGCAAAAAATCATTACAAAGATGGTCATATCACGGTTTTTTTTTTTTTGGTAATTTCATTTTTGGAAAAAAGTGAAATACCAGTGTTTTGAGTATGATGTCTGACATCACTCTGGCTGTATGTGCTGAGAAATCTTTGACCTAGTCAATAATCGCTAAGTAAATCTCCTGTTACAATTTGAAGCTGCCCTCTTTCTAAATACAGACATCAATATTTGTGGACAGTCACCTAAGCATGTCCTCCCGCACCTGATTAACACACATACCTGTCATCCTCACCATGAATGTGTTCACAGTAACAGTGCCAGCTGGCTGACATCCCATGAAACACCACCATTCCTTTTCGGATAAACTATCCACATGCCCTGACAAAGGAACACCAAGCTCTCGCTGCTTCCTCTTGGAGTTCTAGCATTTTAGAAATGTATTTACAAGTTATTCTCACTTCTTGGGAAGAAACTAAATGATTTCAGCGCAGAGAGAAAAATACAGAAACGAAGACACAGATACATCACAATGAGATGGTGTTTTGATTTAATTAAAAGAATCTACAGATCAGAACAGGCAGAATCTGATCTGCATTTCATTTTGAAGGAAAAGGGGGATGGGGTGGGGAATGAAGGCTCCTGTAAGCCAGAGGAAGCACTGAAAAGACTCAGTTAGGTGAGATGCTTGACTCAGTCATCTGAATTTCTGATGCCACCTGCTTTTACAGCCTAGAAGAGACAATTAAGAGCAATATGCAAGTCCACTCCCTCCTCCAGGGATGG